GTGTGTGACTAGTATTCCAGTTATGGTAGTAACTGGGGAACTGAGGTGCTGGCTAGCTTAGGCAGAAAGCAGGATGGAAGCACTAAGCCCAAAGCACCTACTATTTGTGTTTGCCAGCAAGCACAAAGCAGAGTTCAGGCCCTAGTACAAACAAAAAAAAAAGAAAGAAAAAGAAACAAAAAAACCAACCAAAACCCATCAACAGTAAAAACACTCTTCTCCATGTCTCTTTTTGCTTTACAAACTGACAGGAGATCCCTTTTTTCCTTCATTTCCATATGTCCAGCTGCACACACCTGCCAATGTGCTTCTGATGGCAAAGGCAAGGCCAGCTTCCTAGTCTCTATTGCAGAGCTTGCAGAAGTCCCATCCCAAGATAGTTTCTCCCTCCCCCTCCCCCTGCCCCTTTCCATGAACACCTCTAAGAGTTTAGAGAAAGAAAACAACTAATCAGACACTGTAGACAGGGGCTTTCCAAATCCTGAGAAATCTCCGAAGGTAGAAAAGCAGTTTGTGAGTCTCTGAAGTTCAAGCACAGTTCCTTGTGGCCAGAGCCTGGCCTCATTTGCCCTAGGAAGGACTTGGAAGGGCCCAGAGAGAGGGAGAATGGCAAAGAATATGGGACTCTCTGGGCTCCCAATTACCTTTTAGTAAGTCCAAGAGTGCTACAGAAGCCAAGCACCAGCTGCATGTAATCGTAGCTATTCAAAAGGCTGGAATTTAGCTGGGTGCTGGAGGCTCTTACCTATAATCCTAGCTACTCCGGAGGCTGAGATCTGAGAATTGTCTTTCAAAGCCAGTCCAGGCAGAAAAATCCAGAGTCTTATCTCCAATTAACCACTCAAAAACAAAAAACAAAAAACAGAAGTGGCCCTAAGGCTCAAAGAGGTTGAGCACTAGCCTTGAGCAAAAGAGCTCAGGGACGGGGCCCACGCCCTGAGTTCAAGTCTGAACTACCAAAGAGCTAGAAGTGGAGCTGTGGCTCAGGTAGTATAGAGTGCCAGCCTTGAGCCAAAAAAGCTTAACGAGAGTGCTAAGCCCTGAGTTTCAAGCCCCAATACTGGAACACAGGGAAAGGAAAGCAAAGAAGGGAATGGAAGGGAAAGGATGATCTAAAATTATAAGGGAAGCCAGAAACCTGTTTATTTCTCAAATTCACCATTGTCCCTGTTATACTCTGAACAGTACATTAGATCCTAGATGGCTAGAGGGTAGGTGCTTGAAGTCAGGTATGTACCTAGTTGGCCTCCCCCTGGGCTGCACCTCTACTTCAGCTCCCCTCTGCCCCCGCCCCTCCTCCTATATGTCTAGACCTAGGGAATCTCCTAGCTATGTGCCACAGGACCATAGCTGATCCTCTGCACTGTCCCAAACAATAGAAGGTGTAACTGAGCTCAGTTCGAGAATCTCTGATCTGGTGGTAGAAAATTGTCAGAGATCCAGGAAGTTGTTGGTAATTAGGTGTTGATGCGGACTGACCAGAGGCATCCCGGGCCCAGCTCTCTAAGCTTATGTCTAGCAGGAGCCAGGGCCTGATATATTTGCCACAACATCACTTCTTTAGCTGTAGGAATGGGAACTGAGCCCAACTGTTGACCTTTGGCACTGTCCGATGTTGGACAATAGATTCTCTTCACCTTTGCTTTCATAAATGGAACCACTTTCATATCAACTGCCCAGATATAGTACTTTCACATCCAACTTTGTGTTAGTCCTGGTGCTTGAACTTGGCCTGGGCGCTGCCCCAGAGCTGTTTGGCTCAAGGCTAGTGATTTACCACTTGAGCCACAGATCCACTTCTGGCTTTTTTGGTGGTTAATTGGAGATAAGTCTCATGAACTTTCCTGCCCAGCTTTGAACCTAGAGCTTCAGATCTCAGCCTCTTGAGTAGCTAAGTGTAATCACTGGACTAGTGCTAGTCACTACTACCTAGTAGTCACTAGTCCACTTTTCAAACTCATTTTAATCATTTTTGTCTTCCCAAGAAATCTCCATGCCTGTTCCCATCCCTCTCCACTAAAAGCTTTAGTCAGAATTATCCCAGCCCGAGGAAGATGCCCTATAATCAGGAATGGAATATTGAATTGTACCTCCAATGTGTTGGAGGCAAAGCAGCCCATCTTAGTTCTAAGAAATGTCTTATTGGGTTGTTCCTGCTCACAACTGTTTCCTTTCTTTTCAAGATTAAAAAAAAAACAAAAACAAAAAAACATAACATAGCAGAAACCATCTTGCACCGGAAGCTCAAAGGCCAATTTAGTCAGGACTTAACTACGGGCCTAGGATTGTGGGACAGGGAGAGGGCTCTTTCCTTGTGGGCAAATTGTGGGTGTTAGCCTAGATCTGTGGGTTGGTTTTGTCTTCATCTAAGCACTTATCTTATAGAGAACATCTGGCCATGTATGGCATATTGTGGGCTACAAGTGGGTAGAGGTGATATCTACTGGGATATTGCTAAGCATCCTGTGATGCATAAGATGGCCTATACAGTCATCCAACCCCAAAGATCAATAATGCTAAGGCTGAGAAATCCTGGTTGTTATTTGGTTTTTCTAGATTGGTCCAAGTTCAAGTTACTAGCTATTTCCTTAGAAATGATAGGCTGCCTGTGTCCCCATGAGCTCATTAACAGAATAGCTATTATATGCCTGCAGATTCTCTGCAAAGAATGACTATTTCATTCAATTGCTCTCAACAAATTCCCTGCAGTGGCTTCGATGCCCATTCATTTCTGTTCTTTTAGGACAAAGCAGTTGATGTCAAAAAGTAAGTAATGTTCCAGAGACCAGAAGTCATCCCACTTAAAAGTTTATTTCATGGATTCTTTTTAGCACACACACACAAAACACAACAAAAAACAAAAAATCCTGCTGTCTTTGCTGCCCCAGTTCACATTATAAATTAATTTACAAACAGAATTGCATTAGAAACAATATTTATAAAAGCCCATGGTTTTTCATACAAAAATATCCACACAAAATTTTTCTTGTACACAAAGTATCAGGATAAGTAGACTCTTTGGTTTGTTCTGCATAATGTTAAAAAGCATTGGTGATTTAACTTATACCTTAATAAGCCAGTTAGAAATGGCTTTTCATTTGTATACTTCAAAAGAAAAAATTAAAGCAATGCTACAAGTTCCTTAAAAAGAACATATAAGAAAGTTTTCTTTTAAACAATCTACATGTGATTCTAAAAAATTAAATCCCCAAACTAACCACGCACATTGGCTCAAAAGCATGGTATAAATGCAGCTCCTAGAAGAATACCTTTGTTTTAATGAAGTCAGCTTTCATAAATTCAACAACCATTCCGATTACTAAAAGAAAAATTTGTGCTAATACCTGGACTTGAAGGCAAGGTCTCAAACTCCCTCTCAAACTTGTGGCTCACAACTGGTTCTTGAGCCAGCCATGACTCCAGTTCTGCATCTTGCTGATTAATTGGGTATAGTCAAGGACGGGGCTGGCTTTGTTTGAACCAGCCTCCTGAGTAGTTAGGATTACAGGCTTCAGCCACCAGAACCCTTCCATTCCCATATTTAATTAGTACTTTTGGATTAAATTGCCATTCAACAAACTATTAAGTTCTCTGCTGGGTACTGGGTGACCCAAAAAAACTATTCAAATGGAGGTACCTCTGAGAAATAGGAGTGCTAATAAATAAAACTTACATAGTAAAAAAAACAAAACTGACCACAAATGGTCTTATTAAAAGCTATAAAATTTCCATTTAAAACTATGCTTAATAAAATTCTAATATTTTGCTAGAAAATGATACAATCTAAGGAGGACAAGATTCCAGGATCATCGTAAACTAAGACAATAATTCTAAACTTTGTCAGCAGGACTAAGAAGGAGATAGCATCGACCTCTGCTGCTCAGAACATCCCAAATGACTTAAAAAAAATACATGTAATTTATTAGGGTTTCTAGTTTCCTTGTGGTGCTGGGGATCAAACCCAGGGCCTTGCACTTGCTGGACAAGTGCTCTGCCGCTGAGCTACACTCCCAGCCCTCAAATGACATTTGTGTATGAGTGCCAGTGCTGGGAATTGAACTCAGGGCCTTGGGAGCTGTCCCTGAGCTTTTTGTTTTGCGCAAGACTAGCGTTCTACCACTTTAGGTGTAACTCCATTTCTGGCTTTTTTGGTGGTTAACAAGGTCAGAACAAGGACCTGACTCCATTGAACCATAATCCTCAGATCTCAGCTCATGGGTAGCTAGAGTTATAGATGAGAGCCACTGGCACAACTTGTTTTTAGGAGCTAGAACACAAAGATCATAAGCAACAGCTCTGCAGCCAGGCTGCCTGGCTCCACAGTTTCCTCTCCGTGTGACCTAACATCAGTGGGTCTCATTGCCCTCCTGTGGAAAATGAATGAGGGTCATACTTATGTCCCAGGGTTGCTGTGAGGATTAAATGAGTGAACACAAGTGTCTAGAACAGTTCTTGGCTATTAGTACCTACCAGGTGCCTGGGAAAGGTGACTTGTGAGTTGGCTATAGCTCAAGGCTTTGCGGTATTTCTCAGTACTAAGAAAACATAACCAGAGGCTGAAGACTCAAGAATTGGAGGTTTCTTATAAATTAAAAAAAAATGCTGACCTGTCAGAGATAACTAGCTGCTTCAGCAGCCTTCAACTGGACAGTCCTAACTATTCCTTGTGGCTTCAGAAGTCAGCTGTTTAGTTCTTACTTAGTACCTTCATTTCATTGGCTTGTGGCTTTTAGCTGCCTGTTAGACATGTTAAGCATGATATCTGGGTATCCAGTGACATAACAAAAGAGACATGACCTCTGCCCTCAACTTGCAGGCTTCCTTTCTGTCCCAAACAGAGGAATTTCTTTCCAAGAAACCTGTCCAAGCTGGCTGGGGTGGAAGGTCTCTAGAACACCTTCATTACTTCAAGTGTAGTGAACAGACACAGGATTACATGGGCAGTCCCCTGCTGCTCCAGTCTTCCTGACTCAGAATCTGCATTGGAAACCAGATCTCTCAGCTGTGCACTGCAAAGTCTGGTCCCATGGCCTACACCTCAGAGCCCTCTCGGGAGTAGATGAGGCTGTTGACCATGCTGAAGTTGTAGAAGGGGCTGCTGAAGGGGTTGCTTTGGCCTCCGCTGGTGCTGGCAGGGAAAGGGCTATAGTAGGAAGATCTCTGGCCACTGCCAGGGCTGAGGCCATTGCTTAGCTGCAAAGTATCTGTGGAAGCCTCGGGAAGGTTGGTAGTGGGATATGTGTTGTTGGAGGGCAGTGGGGCCCCTTGGATCCCGGGGTGGCGGCTGCTGGATGGGACACGCTGGCTGTTCCCACTGCTGCTGCCATTGCCACCATTACTGCTCAAGGTGCTGAGGTTACTAAAGAAGGTGCTGAGGCATGGGGTGGAGGTGAGCGCAGAGGCTCCTGGGGATGAGGCAGTGCTCTTGGTGCCTTCAGGTGGCTCTGGGGACTGTGAAGGCCTCAGCAGAGAGGAGGGACTGTCTCCCTCAGGCTTCCCCCCAACCCCAGCTCCCAGTCCTGAGGTCAGCCCTTCTTCCGATTTTGGTGTCCTGGCAGCCACTGTGGAGCTGTTGTTGGCCTCTGTGCGGCGCTTGCGCTTCCTACGGAAGTTCCCATTGTCAAACATTTTCTCACAGTTGGGATCCAGAGTCCAGTAATTACCTTTTCCTGAGAAAGGACAAGTTAGAGAAGGAAGCATTTTAGTCCATGTTTTCCATGTGCCCTGACCTAGGATGAAGCTTAATTGTGTAAACTAGGTACAATGAGGTTAACAAGTATAAAAACTATATGAACCCCCCCAAAAAAGGGGGGGCTGGGAAGGTGGCTCAGTAGTAGAGCACTTGCCTTGCATGCATAAGGCCCTGGGTTTGATTCCTCAGCACCACATAAGCAGAAAAAGCCGGAAATGGTGCTGTGGCTCAAGTGGCAGAGTGCTAACCTTGAGCTGAAGGACAGCACCCAGGCCCAGAGTTCAGGCCCATGACCGACAAGAACAACAAAAAATAAATAATAATAAAAAAAAACTACATGAAGCCGGGCACCGGTGGCTCATGCCTGTAATCCTAGCTACTCAGGAGGCTGAGATCTGAGGATTGCGGTTCAAAGCCAGCCCAGGCAAGAAAGTCTGTGAGACTCAATAAACCAATAAACCACCAGAAAACCAGAAGTGGCACTATGGCTCAAGTGGTAAGTGGTAGAGCGCTAGCCTTAAGCTGAAGAACTCAGGGACAGCGCCCAGGCCCAGAGTTCAAGCCCCACAACTGACCCCCCCCAAAAAAAAACAAACCAAAAAACCTACATGAATATGGTCTGCTTATGTCTGGTTTTTTTTTTGGGGGGGGGTGAGTGGTATAAGACTTGCATTCAAGGCCTTATGCTTCCTCTCTATCACTGAGCCATCCACATGTTTAGACTTTTGACTTTAAGTACTTTAAGTACTCCAGAAAGTGACACTAAGGCCCTGGGGACAATGGAGGCAGGAGGACCTCAGCAAAGTTAAAGCCCTACCTGGATAAATGAGGGAGAGAAAGAGAAAGGGAGAGAGAAAAAAAGAGGAAGGAAGAATGGAAGAATAAGGGAGGATGCTTAAACTTTGCTTTGAATCTGGGAAATGCAGAGAAAGGTGCTTAACTTTACTTTTTTTTTTTTTTTATCTTGGTTTGCCTTTATCTGCTTGAGAAGGAATCTGGAACAAAGTTGCTCTAGACGCTTCTAACTCCTCCAGGCAGTATCTCCAACTTTAATCTTAATCCTAATTCAATTCCTGAGGCACTTCTAATTAAATCACCTCTCCTCTGGTAGATCCAGGCTACCTGACCTTGCAAAGTCAGGGAATTCTGAGGTTACTGAAAACCTCATCACCATTTCTCTTGTAAAACTGGGACAAGTTGGTTGGATGACTGTGAAGCACAAGTGATATCTAGGCATAGTTGCCAGGACACATAGCAAGGAGGGAACACACAGTATTACAATTCTTTTTTGTTGTTGTTGTTGGTTGCTGGGCTTGAACTCTGGATCTGAGCACTGTCCCTCAGCTCTTCAGCTCAAGTAGCGCTCTACCACTAGAGCCACAGTGCCACTTCCAGTTTTCTGGTAGTTAATTGGAGATGAGTCTCAAGGACTTTACTGCTCTGGCTGGCTTTGAACTATGATCCTCAGATCTCAGCCTCCCTAGTAGCTAGGATTATAGGTGTGAGCCATGAGTGACCAGCCGGTATTACAATTCTTATTCCCTAAAAATGCACAACTACCACTGTAGGGGAAGAGGATCACAGTAGATTAAGACAACCTCAATATGAAAAAATTATTAACAATTAAAATTCAGTTTTAGCAACTCATGGAAATGCATACATTTGCAATACAAGGAAACTTTTAAGCACCCACATGGTCTTCATCTTTTGTCCACTGGGCAAATGTTGGAAACTTAATTCATTCAAGTAATGCCTGACTTCTGTTTAGAAAATGTCCTTCATTATCTACAATTGAGGCAGAAAAGCTGGAAGATTCTATCACCTATTAGCTTTTTTTAGCTTCTGGCAATATATATTATATAACATATATATATATATATATTTATATATATTTTTTGTCGGTCGTGGGGCTTGAACTCTGGGCCTGGGCGTTGTCCCTCAGCTCTTCAACTCAAGGCGAGCGCTCTACCACTTGAGCTACAGCGCCACTTCCAAAATATATATATTTTTTTGAAGCTTGAAAGTTACTTTAACAAAGCATATGGAGCTGGGCAATATTTCTATGCTTACTTTTCAGATGGGGAAACTCAGATGGTTTCTAAGTAAATATCGGTACCATATTGCAGGTGCCATGCAATTACTATGAATAGGCAGCATTTTAGCGGGCTGGTTCTGACCAGCATTCCTAACTAAACATTGTGGGGTTTTGTTTGTTTTAGATTAGAACACTCTGTATCTTAGACTGACTTGGAACTAGTGATCCTCCTGCTTCAGCCTCCTGAGGGCTTAGAGTACAAGGGTGCATCTCATACCTGGCCTCTGACTATTGTTAGTTAACTGTCTCCACGAACTAGCATGCACTCACTCTGCAGATAAATGCAGAGAAAAATTATAAACTACCACTTAGGCAATGATACCTGCACCTATCTAGATATGTATATTGGGAGACCTGAGCTACATTTTGTTTTGTTTTTGATGGTCATGGGGCCTGAACTCTGGGCCTGGGCGCTGTCCCTCAGCTCTTCAGCTCAAGGCTAGCACTCTACCACTTGAACCACAGCACCACTTCTGGATTTTTTCTGCTTATGTGGTGCTGAGGAATTGAACCCAGGGCCTCAGGCATGCAAGGCAAGCGCTCTACCACTGAGCCACTTCCCAGTGGCCCCCTACACAAATTTTTTCTTGCTACCAGTATCGATGAATTTTTTTAAACTCAAAGTAGTACATATGACAAGTTACATATAGTCTTGGGTGATTTAGAGCCCAAATCAGGAAGTTATGTCTTCTAGAATGCCATGTCCTATTGACAGATGACTTGAAATATGTCTAGTTTAGAGGCAGTTGGGATGGCTTATGCCTCTAATCTTAACACTGGGAGGCTGAGGAGAAGGAGGGCTAGGCATGGACACATGTCTCAGAAGCAGAGGAGAAAGAACTAGGAAGGAAAGGAGAAAGGGAGGGAAGAAAGAAAGGAGAAAATGGTGTAAAAATACTATTTTGAAGACTTAAAACCAATATAATGCAAGAAAAATCCTATAGTAATTTTTAACTTGTTATAAACATTTTATTTAGAAATTGTCACCAATATCTTTGTGTGTGTGTGAGATAGAGAGAGAGAGAGAGAGAGAGAGAGAGCGCATGAGCTCAAGAGCGAGCTGTCCTGGGACTTCAACTCAGGACCTGGGTGCTCTCCCAGAGCTTTTCTTGCTGAAGGCTAGCACTCTATCACTTGAGCCAAAGCTACACTTCCGACTTCTTCTTTTTTTTTGTTTTGAAGGGAGAGGTAGTTTATCGCAGGTAAGAGTCTCACAGACTTTCCTGCCAGGGCTGGCTTTGAACTGTGATCCTCAGACCTCAGCCTCCAGAGTAGGTAGGATTACAGGTGCGAGCCACCAGCAGCAGGCTGCCTTTTGAATTTGTGAATGAGGCAACCAGAAAACTTCCGATCCCAAGTGGCTTGCACTGGACAAGAGGCTGGAGGTACAGCTTAGTGTTGAGCGCGCGCGCACAAGGCTTGGGGTTCCACACCCAAGGCAACAATAACAAAATGCAGAAGGACTTCAGGGGTATAAAGTCCTCCTATGCTCGAGTATTGCTATCTAGTATTTACATAAAACCTTAGATTTATGCAACGTGAAGTAAAAGTTTCACTTCCCTTCTCATTTTCCTACTGCAACACCCTCCCTTTCCCCGAGTCCAGCGCTCTTTCAGCAAACCTCCAGCAGTAATCGGTTTCTTTTATAGTGAACCTCCCCCTTCCCTCCCGTTCCCCAGCCAGGTAAGCAACACAGCCCGACCGGCTCTGAAGTCAGTGGACTTAGGTCAGAACGCAGGCGAATTCTTGGTCTTTAGTTCTAATGAAGGCACAACAAACACAACTTGGAGAATCCGCCAACGTTCTCCCAGCCCTCTGCGGGGAGATTCGTGGGTTTCATGATGCCCATAACCCCATCCTTGAGTCCCCTCTCTCCAGGTACTGGGCACAGCACTGGCTCCACTCGGGATGCCACAGATTCCTACAAACCTGGAGGTGAGAATGCACCCAGGCGCAGCCCGCCTGGGGTCGACTTTCTCTCAGGTTTTGTGAAAGAGAATCACTTTTTTTTTAAACAATCTCCCGCTTAAACCTAAACGCTCGTCCCTGCCCTCACTCCTTCCTCACGCCATCTCCCAAGCATAGGTCTGGTCCTCATGTGGCCGGATGAACATCATCCACAGCCGAGGTGGTCCTAACTTCGTCCCTTTTCTCTAACCTAACTGGCTAGCCACCGGGTCCTCCTTCCAAAGATCTGATTGTCTCCTCGGTTCTCTTCCCCTCACCCTGACTGATTGTTCCTGGAAAACTCATCCGATCTGCAAGGAACCACACACAATCCTCCCTCTCACCCACCCACCCTCCAAGCAGCTCTGGCGCCCCGTTCCCGCCCGCGCGCGCGCGCGCCCTGCTCAGCCCCGGCCGCCCGCACCTGGATCATCCTCGTCGCGGGGCACCTTCTTGAAGCAATCGTTGAGCGACAGATTGTGGCGGATGGAGTTCTGCCAGCCGGCCTTGCTGCGCTGGTAGAAGGGGAAGCTGTCGGCTACGAACTGGTAGATGTGGCTGAGCGTGAGTTTGCGCTCGGGCGCGTTCTGGATGGCCATGGCGATGAGCGCCGAGTACGAGTAGGGCGGCCGCACCATCTTCATCAGGTCCTCGCGGCTGGCCATGGACAGCCAGCCCAGCTCACCAGG